ACACACAAAAAAAAAAAATCACAAATAAAATGAAACACAGAAAGCAGAAAGAAAAGTCTAATTTTATTCCCTGCCCCTTATTTTCAAAAAATAAAATATAGGCTACTAGATTATTTCACACATTCTTAAAATCAATAAATACAGTAGTTGAATTTCAACTTAAGATTTTCACAATCTTATCTTGACATTTCTCTGAGAATAATTTTGAATATGATATATTTAAAATATATTCTGTGTGACTGCTTGTGTTTTTCTGAATACAGGATCAACAAAATCCCCTCTGAGAGACTCTTCAGATTTACTTTAAGTCAGATGTTTGGTATCTAAATTTTAGGCCCAGCTTTGAGACAATTTTTTTTACAATTAATTCTTCAAAGTATTAACATTTCCTACAAGTCTGATAAATACAGCCCCTGGTCTTTGATATAAATTTTGACATGAACGTTCAAAAACTTTAAAATGTTTGGATAATCCCTTTGTTAAATTGAGTCCATACAGTTGATCAGTTTCATGTGATGCTCCCTGCAGCCCTTCCTCCTGAGGACAGGACATCGTCACCATCCGGTTGTGTTTTTTTTATGAAAATCATCATCTGTGCAACAAGTGAAACTCTGCTCTGGGATGTGTCTCGCGCTACTACTGCTTTCTTTTTAATGATGAACCAAGCTGCACGCAGTTCTGTGTGGGTCTGTGTGCGTGCGTGCGTGTGCGCACACACATGTGCGCTCGCAGCAAAGTTTCTTTGTGGGTTCGTGACTCCCACTCTATCTGGCCCAGGCTTATAAACCTTACGACAAACTAAACACATACGTTTGTTTGCCTCTGTGTCTCACAATAAGTCCTTCTGGTTTGTTATATTTTGTGCATTTGCCATCAAAACACACCACGAATCCAGCAAATGATTTACTTCCTCGTTAACATTTGGATCAGGTACCAAAGCAGTGACGTAAGTTCACCACTTTCGAAGCTTCGGACGTCACTGATCACATGACTTTTACCAAACGAATCAAGCTCCGACACAGTGCTTCTGATGCAGTGTGTTGTTTTTTTCAATACATGCTCTGAAGCTTCAGCTTCAAACTGCCCATCACTACCAGGTCCTGAGTTTCTGGTTCCCTTCGTGATTGGATCCCTCTGCAGAAGAACTGAGTTCTGGATCCAATATCCAACCTGGAACCTTTTTGTTGTCCTCCGCCCTGCTCTCTCTCCTCCCTTACATACTGCTGGAAAAGATCTAAAAGAACAAGGACTAACTCTGCAAACAAACCTACCTCAACAAGCATCCACCACCTCCTCTCAGAGCCTGTCTCCAGATCCACTCTGCGTAAGAAACAAACAAATCAATATTCAAAGTCATTTAATTACTCAATACCACCTCTCACTCATTCCTTTTTGCCTTTCAGCTTTTTCACTGGATTCACCTGTAAATAAACTCGCTGAACTTTTATCTGTTGTCTGGGTCATTTGTTTACTGTTGTCTCACATCCAATTTTGGAGTACTCACAAAACGAACCTTAACACACCAGAATACAGGAAATGGCATTTACTACTTTAAAAATTTTCTGGGGGAGGATCCCCAGACCCCCCACCAGTGGGTCCCCCCAACATTACAAATACTTCTGATGCCACTGAAATATGTAATGTAAGGATAACTTACAGTTCTCTGTGTGTAAACATACAGAACAAGTTAGAAATGGACTGTGGAAGTGCAGATAGTTCGGTGTCATTTATTTTCTCTCTGAACATCACAAAATCAGTATAACTGAACATCTGTTGGCAAATCCATAGCTTTTATTTTGCCATTACAACTACATTATAAAATTTCTGTTATAGATATTAGTTTTGGTGTGCCCCCACATGGCCCCCCTGAAAATAATTTCTGTAGGCACCACTGCATTTGTTGCTTGTTTTGCTGCTTCATTCCCTCTGAGCCCTGTGTGTGCTGGTATCCTGGTGTCCATAGAAGTTCACAGTTTAATCCCAACATTTGTTTTCTGAATGTGTCACAAAGTCTGTTTTAAATAAAACAGTCAGTGAACGACTGAAAAGTCAAACAGAACCATCCACTGAGTGCATTACAGAAAATATTATCCCTAATTTCCTCATCTTTGATTCAATTATTGGTGCCAATTTTAAGAAATTAAAGAAAAAATATGAATGTTTGTATTTATAAAATACACACACAAATATAAGCACATTTGTAGGAAGTATAAACATGTGCAGTCCATATGTGAAACACCGTCTGTTACACATTCCTCCACAGTGGTGCAGTCCTGCTTACATGTAAGATTACACAGTACAGTCTGCATACACCATGTGCACAACAGACAGTGTTATATAAAGTACCACAGTGATACTTGAGTAAAAGTACAACTATCTTACCAAAAACTTACTTTGGTAAAAGTTAAAGTGTCCTTTAGGAATATTACTTGAGTAAAAGTCTTAAAGTATGTGATATTTGTTGTAGTTAAGTATTAAAAGTCAAAGTGTAGATTTAAAAAGAGCAGTTAGATTTTCTGTAAGGACATTTATTAGGAGGTGACCTCCCCAAAAACTGCAGAAATGACTGTTGTATTAAAAGAATGAATGGATGTTAAATTTAGGATGCACTCAGTTTCTCATTCAACATTAAACTCATTTTATAGGAGGCAAAATTTATATGGATAGTGTTCATTTTTTCCAATAACAAGCTGGAAAAAAACAAGCAAAATGAAATAAAAGTAACAACTTGCTTCTTCATGCCTTTTTAAAAATGTAAGGAGTACAAAGTACAGATAAATGTGTGAAAATGTAAGACATAGAAGTGAAAAGTAGGCTGAAAAATAATTACTCAAGTAAAGTACACATACCCAAAAATTCTACTTAAGTACAGTAAAGAAGTACTTGTACTTAGTTACTTTACAGTTCTGACAACAGATATTTTCTAAAACTCTTATTTGGCTTTTCAAGCACCAAACAAAGTTTGTAATTATCATATCTTGTGTGAAAGCAAGGGCAAACAAATCTTTAGTTTTTTTAGTTTATTTATTTATTCATTTCATTTAAAACCAAAATTTTTACACACATTAAAAGCAAAAATACATACACAACATATCACACACAAAAAAACAATATATACAAATCACATTGAAATGAAAGGAAGCAGAAAGAAGAAAAAATCTTATATCTGCCCCTTTTTTCTACAATTAATAATTGGGGAAAAAATAAAAAATAAAAAAAATAAAAACTTCAGTTCATCTATTTTAAATTTATTTCAATCTATTCAACGGGCTAAACAAACATTAAATAGTTATTATCAAATCTTGGTAAAGAATACTAACCTTTAAACACCTGTTCATGCTTTAATCCAGCAGATGGCGCTAACACATGTTTGAGTTGGTTTGTCCAAAGAAAAGAAGCGGAAGCAGCAGAGCGCCATCTGCTGGGCTGGAGGACGACCTGGAGCAGAACATGTGAGCAGTCAGTGCTTTGTGAGGGAGAAGTACCAGCGAGCTGCTGTCTGACATGTTCTGACCCAAAACACAACCAGAGCAGATCTGATCAGACTGTAGCTCCGTGTTAATCTACGCTGTGTCGGATCTGTGTGGTGTGGAGGAGCAGAGACGACCCGGCTCTTACATCACTCTTTGTTTCCAGCCGAGGCTAAGCTAACATCAGCTAAAGATCAGTGTTGACAGGAAACATCAGCTAAAGATCAGTGTTGACAGCTAACATGGCCTCTGTGTCTCTACCTGCCAGAACAACAGCTGTCTTATTGGACATCGAGGGAACCACCACTCCAATCACATTTGTTAAGGTGAGTTTTTTGTTTTTACTGTGAGAAGGTTGTGATGTTTCACAGTTTCACTTTCTTTATTTTCATCCATGTTACCGGTGTTTTTAGTTCTTTACATTGAAAACTTCTTTGTATTATCTTTTATCATGAAATAAACACATTATCATCCTTTCAAAAAGGAAGTAAAGTCTGTATTTTGTCACATTTTTCAGGATGTCTTATTTCCCTACATCAGAGAGCATCTGGAGGATCATCTGTCCTCTCACTGGGAAGAAGATGAGTGTAAACAAGATGTCCACCTGCTGAAGAAACAGGTAGAACAATGATGAGTGTTTGTGTTGACAGACAGGCTGCCCTGCACCGTGAACAGTTAGTGTTAAACAGTGAGCAGCAGTCAGTCAGTGTGTGTCAGTACCTGTGAAACACTGACTCTTTTTGTGTTGTTGTGTTTTATAAGTCAGGTCGTAACACTGGCTCAGCTCACAGTTAATCAGCTGTCAGTGACTGCTTCCTTCAAACATTCAAATACATTTATTACATATTTTACTAGTTCTACTGTGGGCTGCTGTTTGTAACGTTACACAGTCAAAAATTAAAAATTTACTTAACAACATAAATATTTAGCTAGATATCTAAATATATAACTGAAATATTTACTTAGCTAGCTTAATAATTAAGATGCAAGCTAACTAATTAGCTCAAAACTAATTATTTAAGTAAGTTAAACATTTAGCTTGTTAACTAAATATTTAATTTGTAAGTTAAATATTTAGTTTATAAACTATGACATTTATAAATGTATGAATCATATGTTGAAAAACTGACTTTGAAAAATAAATCTGTTCTTTTTTTCTTATAAAAGACTGAATAAAACAAAAATACTGGTGGTAATTTTGAACTTTACAACCAGCAGCCCATGTTCCACAGACAAACAAACATGTTCAGACACAGAGAAAACAAAAACATTCTCACATTTAAAATGCTTGTTTAAACATGAAACCTTATAAACTCAAAGAAGGAACAGGATTTATTTGACTTTATTTGTTCTTGACTTGCTAAATGTTGTACTGCAGTATCAGTCACATTGAGCCTGTTGTGTCTGCAGATTGAAGAGGACATAAAGCAGAACCGGGCCTGTCCAGTCCACACTGTGGACCAGACGGTCCACACTGATGAGGAGAAGGCCATCAGGGAGGTGGTGGAGGACGTCTTGTGGCAGATGGCAGCAGACAGGAAGTCCACAGCTCTCAAACAGCTCCAGGGTCACATGTGGAGGGCAGCGTACACCTCTGGGAGAATCAGAGGCGAGTAAGTACTCTGATCCTGTTTTTACTTTACAGTTTTTATATTTAAACAAGATGTGCTTTAATGTTCAACATGTCTGCAGGATCTGTGTTCCTACTGCACACTGAACACCTCTGCTTTTACCTCAGTCTAATAAAGAAACAGAATTATATTAAACACTAAGGAATTATATATAAAATAAACACTGTGGTGAATTATATATTAAATAAACACTGTGGTGAATTATATATAAAATAAACACTGTGCTGAATTATATATAAAATAAACACTATGCTGAATTATATATAAAATAAACACTGTGGTGAATTATATATAAAATAAACACTGTGGTGAATTATATATTAAGTAAACACTGTGGTGAATTATATATTAAATAAACACTGTGGTGAATTATATATTAAATAAACACTGTGGTGAATTATATANATGTGTACACACATGATACATGTGGATTTTATTTTGAAATCAGAAGTTTCAGAAAGACGACAGTGAGACAGTTTCAACATAGATACCAGAAGCCTTTATATCAATGTTTTCAGCTGTTTGGAGTTCGTCTTTCACACAATTAATTATTTTTTGCTGTGACTTCCACATTTATCACTGAATTTATCACTGAATTTATCGCTCGATCTGCTTCCTGCACGTCTGTCGGACCGGAGCGGAGCAGAGGTAGTGTAAACCGGACTTGAAACGCACAGCTGTGACCTGCGCTGCGCAGCGCAGCGCAGCGGAGACACATGTGGTATAAATCCGGGGTTAGAGGAACTGACTTTCATCCCAGCCGCTTCACACTCGGCTGTGAACCTCCCCAGCGCCCGCTGAAGGTCGTGGTCTGAAGACACCAACAGAACCACATCACCTGCATACTGCAGAGATGAGACCCTGTGGTTCCCGAACCAGACACCCTCCTCTCCTTGAGATCCTGTTCATAAACACTACAAACAGGATCAGAGACAAGGAACAGCCCTGGAGTCCAACTGTTATGGAAATATTTATTTAACAAAGACAGAAATACGTGGTCCAAGAATGAAGGTACTCCATGGCATGATCAGCTGAGTTTTATTGCAACAGGAAACACAGAGAACAACGTCAGACTTCCCCCCTGCTCTCTGCTCCTGGTTCTGCTTCTTTGAGGCAGTTGAGGTCTCATATATCCTGTTTAACAAACACTATTAGGTCATCTTAATAAAGCAAGATTTCATTCTAAGGACATACAAGGTCAAGGAGGGGCTGCAGCCTAACTAGACCCCGGCCCACCCAGCTAGACTGCATAAAACTGCTGTGAAATGAGATGGTCTAGTATTTGCTTGACGTATGTCAACCAGGTGCTACCACATTACCTAGTGATTGGTTATACTGTATATACTGTATCACCTTCAGACAACAATGCATGGGGTCTTTTTCCTGGAGGAATAACATCACAATTAAAACGTTACACATCGTGACCATAGATGAGGGTAGAAATGTAGGCCAACCGGTAAATCAAGAGCGTCGACTTCTGGCTCAGGTCTCGCTTCACCACAACAGACCGGTACAACGCCCGCATCACTGCAGACGCAGCACCAATCCACCTGTTGATCTCCCGCTCCATTCTTCCCTGATTCATGAACAAGACCCCGAGGTACTCCGATGAGTCCACACAGCAAAAACAGGAGTGTTAAAATTTCAATGTTAAACACTTGGGTGTTGATTTAACACCCCCTCGGGTTATTTTAACACTTTCTGAGTACACTCACACCCAGTGTTGGTGGTAATTCACAGTGTTGGTT